GCCACTGCCTCCAGCAGGCTTCGAGATTAGTTTGAAGAACTGCAATTAGTCCGAATTTGGGTGATCGTTCGAATTCCCAAACTCGGAGCCGAAATGAAGCCAAATCATGATCCAAACAACTCACAAATGATGGAGTATGTTCGTTTTGATTTGTGATTTGGAATTCCACCAAAACTCAATTTTAATATATGATATATTTAATAAATATAGAAATATGGATTTTTTTAAAATATTTTTTTACAGCTTCAAATGTTTTCCCCTATACATTTACTTTTTCTCACTGGATCTGCCATTTACTTTTTCTCACTGGATCTGCTGAAATGCTCCTATTAGTGTACTACAAAATATTCATATTATGTATATATTTAGCAGTACACTGATTGGCATATTTCTGCACCCTTTTGGTTCAACAAATAGTTTTTTTCTATACCACAATTCTGCTGAGCCCAACTGCCATATTAGAAAAATTCAGCCACTCTGAAAATTATTTTGTTTTCTGAGAATATGGTTCAGCCAAAACAAATTTCCTTGCAATGCAAAAGTCCAACAACATTACGTTCAAGTTATGGGCTTTGATGTATTATATTTGGAGAAGCTTTTCAAATGATTTAATATTTTTGGATACAGTTTTAAAATGAGTTTTGCAAAATATTATATATATATATACACACACACACACACACATATATATATAGACATAGCAGAAATGACCGCACTCCAAGGACTTTGTAGAGATTTTCAAATAAAATTTAACTTTTATTCAATCCATTTAAAAAGTCAATGTTTCAGCTCCCACATGGAGCTTTCATCAGGACAAAACATGTTTTAAATACATTTATAATATTTTATCATTTTAAACCTTTATCTAAAAAATATTAAATGATTTAAAAAGCTCATACAAAACTTTTAAATCGAGGCCATGCTGACACAACCACACCAATACAACAGTACAGATATATAACTTCAAAACACAATAAAATATCATTACTCCAAATGGTAAGGAGAGGCTCAGAAGAACACAATTAATAAAAATTTAGAACGTTCTGGTACCGGGATATATGAAATATATGCAAATTCTTGTTAAAGCTTTGTAATCGTAAACCTTCTGATATTACACCAAACATTTAGGATTACAATTATAATAGAGAAGGTGATACTGTCAGTGAAAGATTATGTTACACCATCCTGTTACAATGTTTTCCACAATAAATATTTATATAGTAATGCAAATGCTGATCTGCTTGTCCAGGAGATAGATTTTTCAATCTAAAGATAAACCAAAGTGAAATTTTGCTAAAGAATTAAGAGGATAAATTACTACTGTTTCAGATCTGCTGCAACATGTTTACTTTTTCACACGATCATTAATATTTAACCATACATGTTGAGGTGTTTTCGTGCCACAATTTGGTATGGTCAGATGTTAGGAGTGTGGATAATCCAAAGAGTAATTACTTTAGAATAGGAAAAAACTGATTTGCTTATTCATCTGCAAATGTTTATCACAACTCTTCTGCTTTGTAAGTCTGTTGATCCCTTTCTCATGGTTATGGTGCTTGGAGTGTTGATTTGATTCTAGAAGATTATTATTTAAACTGTGTGATTCTAGAGAAAAAAATATATATGTATATACCAACACTTCAAACCTAAGAATATGTTTATTTGAAATAATTATTTCTGAACTTAAAGGACCACTGTGGGCACTATAAGCGCTTTAACAGATTAAAGTGTTTATGGTGCATTGAGTCCGTCAGACCAGATCCTGTGTTATTACTAATCAGTGTACTCATTTTTTTAATAAAACTGGTATGGTGTGAAGTGACGCATAGCCAGTTACCTATAATGTCCACTAAACAGTGAGTAAACCCCAGTGGGACCTGGTGCCCAAAGACTTCAGTCACAATGACCTCCTTAATCTGTTGTAGTGGTTATGGTGCCTACAGTGTTTCTTTAATAGTTTGCATATCCATTATTATCAGTTTCCAAGAGTGTACAACATCTCTTTAAGACCCACTGCTATCTACTGGCATCCATTTGTTATTGACGGACAAAAAAAAAAACCATACCCTGTGATGAGGGAAGATCAAGAATAAATGAGAGGAAGAAAGTAATTTAGAGGGTTCATCCAATGAGAAACTGGTGCAAACTATAAGAAAAATTGCAGGAAATATAAAGTGTTTTCACATTTTAATATATCCCCAAACTGTAATGACGAGTTGTGATAAATCCCAGGGGCCTATAATCATTAAAGACTGTAATGACCTTTTGCAAATAGTGTCTGATGAGTGTTTAAGTGAAAGCGTATGTTGTTTTTAACAGACCTTTTTCAATTTAATCTATTGCAGAATATATCATTGGTGCTCACTCAATAGTTGACTGCTTGATCTAGCTAAACATAAAATTCTATGATTGAGCAAGGAGTGATGATTTTTGACATGCCCATGTTAAAACTACACAAAAACTGTGTAAAATGTATTTCTTAGAAAATTAAGATGTGCTTCTTAATAAGAGCTGATTCATCAACAACATAACTTAATGTATACAATATGTGCTGCAGTGCAAATGTCAATAGCTAAACACCGGGAGGTTGAGGAAGAGGATACTCTGTTTTTTTTCAACCCAATTAGCAAATATTGGGCTGCATTCAATTATCCAAAATAAAATGTATCTTTGGTAAGTGCAACAAGTCTAGCTTTACACAACTTACTTCTCATCTTAACAAGCCGTTGTTCAATTCTTTCCAGCTTAGCCTACCCACTTGGTATTGTCTAGACCAGTGGTTCCCAGACTTTTTAGGTACAGGGCTCCCCTTAATATTTCCTCGGTTGTATATGTACAGCGCAGCGGCATATACTGGGCCCCTGTTTGGCAGAAATGCTTGCCGTTCAAGCACAGATCCAGAACCTAATCTCAGGAGGGGCACTGGTAGATTATTTAAAGAAACAATCCAGGTACAATAACCACTACAGCACTTTGTTGTGGTAATGGTGCCAGTATTGCCATAGGGTCCTCCCAGAGTAAGTAGTCAAACTGTTTAAGAACAGTTTGACAACTTACCTGGGATCTGCCAGGATAGGGGCTGTAGTAGGAGATCTGGGCAATAGTGTGTCTGAGGGGTGCAATATGTGTGTGTGTGAGTGGTGGAGTGTGTGTGCACGTTTGAGGGGTGCAGTGTGCATATGTGTGAAGGGTGCAGTGAGTGTGTATGTGTGAGGCAGTTTGTGCATGAGGGGTGCAGTGAGTGTACAGGGGTGCATTGTGTTTGTGAAGGATGCAGTATGTGTTTACGTGAGGCAGTTTGTGCGTTAGGGGTACAGTGTGTGTAGGGGCAGGTTGTATGAGGAGTACAGTGTATGTGGGGGGGTAGTGTGTGAAGGGTACAGTGTGTGTGTATGGGGACAAAGTGTGTGTATGGGGGAAGTGTGGGTCTGTGGGGTTAGAAGGGCAGATAAATATATACTTTTATTTTTTTATTTTAATTAATAAAAGTTCAATTTAATTTTAATTTTAAAATAAAGAAAAATATTATTTTAATATCCCCCCCTCCCTGCTTACCTTTGCCTGGGAGGGGGTAACAGTACTAATCCCTGGTGGTCCGTTGGAGAAGTCCTGGTGGTCCAAGTGGTGAGAGAGAACTCTAGCAGCCTCAGGAGATTTGGAGCGTTGCGGCAACACTCCGAGCTCGCAAGAGGAGAACCCGGCGGAGCTGCAAGTTAGAGCTCCCCCGTGTCCTCTCTCCCTCCCCTGCCAGCTGCAGCATTACAGTACTAGCGGGCTGGAGAGGGAGATCTCTGATCTCCCCTCCGGTCCTGCAGAGCTGGCAAGGGAGAGGGAGGCACGGTTCCTGGTGCTATGATCATAGCACCGGGAAAATATATTGTGGCACCCGTGTGCACATCATAGCGTCCCAGTGCGCCGCAGCCCACAGTTTGGGAACTGCTGGTCTAGACAGAGTAGGCACTCCAGATATTGTGGACTACATCTCCTTTGGTGCTTTGCCAATATAGCTTTCAGAGCATTATGGGAAATGCAATCCACAACATATGGCGAATAGTATTAAATGTTGTCTACCCATGGTATAAACTGCTAGTAATTTTATGGTAGATATATTCAAAGTCAGAAAACTTAACTGGTGAAAATCTTCAGACCCAATGACAGATTCCCATGACAGTGATATTTCTTGATAATCATTGTTAACATTGCTCTCTTATTTCTGGTATTTTTATTGTGCTAGTAAAAGATGGTATTGATGTCTTCTCAGTTTCAGAGTAGTAAGGTTTAACCCTTTAACGTCATTCATTTCCATCCCGACACAGAACATGTAAGCCATTCGAAAATAACAGAACATTTAGGCTATTTGAAATGAGAGCAATGTGGAGTGTTAGGACTCTAACAGACTTACTTACGTATACATTAAAGTCTGAATTGTAAAGATTGAAATCCAAATAACATTTAGGCAAAATTATCTGAACTGGTACAATTTTACAACTGTGCTATGTTCACAGTTTAGCTGTTTTGGCCTAAATGTCACTATTTGTATTTCAATTTGCTACAATTTGGAGTTTATTGAATTAGCCCTCTATTCGACTGTTAGAAACGATATAGTTCTTTGCACGTGGAATTTGGAAAGCTCACGTGATCACCAAGTTCTCACAGTCCAATTCAAGACTACTCTTATGGACTACTTGGCGTCAGCGCTCTTAGCCATTCTTGAGAATGAGATCTGTGCTGTTTCAAAGGGGTTATTTGTGGGGCTGGCAGTGGCGGGCATAGGATAGCTAGTAATACAAAAAGATAAGTCCTGCGCTCACTCCCATCACTCCTGGGTGGCAGCAACGACCACAGTACACATCAGCCCCAACACATACAGTAAGTTACCTGCGCTCTCTCCTAAATCCCTATGTATATTTAAACAAATGGAGGTCATTTAGTTACTCCAATGGCCACTGGAGGGAATTCCCGCCTGCAAACGTCAAGGCAGACCCCCCTAAGCGGGCCCTACACTGACCCTTCACCTTGCTTCCTTGAGCTTCTGGCAAAGATATCTCTAATGAGACAGAGAGGGGTATTTTTATAAACACCCCTATATACTTATTAACCCTTAATAGGGAACACATGGGATGGGCGTCAGCATTGTAACAAAGCTGTGTGATACAAAAAGTGACTACAAATACAAAAAGAGATATATTTGCCAGAAGCTCAAGGAAGCAAGGTGAGAGGTCAGTGTAGGATCCGCCTAGGGGTTTTTCCTTGACGTTGGCAGGCAGGCATTCCCTCCAATGGCCATTGGAGTAACTAAATGACCTCCATTTGTTTAAATATACATAGGGATTTAGGAGAGAGGGCAGGTAACTTTTTCTTTGGTTTTTACTATAGGAAATCTACTGTTAGCCAATCCACCACTTCTACAGATGGTAATTGCAGTGCTCTAGTAAATTCTGGGAAATATGTTAGTTTTATCACTAGATTTTATTATTTATATAGTATCAGTAAATTCCATAGTGCTGTACAATGGGTAGATATAGATATGTTCCTCTTCTTGCATTGAAAGAGAAGGGGTTACCTCAACGGTATAGTATGTATGCTGTCTGCAGAGCCAATGTGAGTGGGCATAGTAGCCTTAGAGTTTGCCACGTGTATCTTGGTAGATCTTAAAATAAGGACACTCTCCTTCCATGACCTTATGTCACGGAAACCGGGACCCCTGTATGTCTGATGATAGTAGGAGTCACACCGTGGAAATGAACAATCAGGGTCTGGTGCAGGGTAACCACATGCCCCCTGGTGTTAAACACAAAGGTTTGTGAGGCCACATACCAGGACCCTGATGCAGCTTCTGCGGATCTTAGGAGCTAGATGTATATCCAGAACTAGAAACAAGGCAAGACTAGAATAGGCACCAAACAAGATAACAAGACAAGACCAGAAGAACCCAGAACCGGAGCAGGACAGAAAGCAGAACGTACACAATACATTAGGGAAACAAGAACAGGACAGGACTGTATTTGAACTTGGAATACAACACAAAATAAAACAAGACAAAAGATACAAGGCAAAACAAGAGGAGAAATAACTAAGTACTATGTATGTAATGAACATTGGAGATTTAGACATACATAAATGGCCAAGATGTATGCAGCCCACCTCTGCGCCAAAGTACTCCAATTACGGTGGGTCCTAACTGCCTAGATATGAATGACTAAAAGTACGACACACACAGTACTTACCTGCAAGGAAAGGAGCAGAGGGATGAGACCACTGCTAGCAGGGAACACTGAAACAAAAATGATAAATGGCAAAGGAATGGGTGCGGCAAGAAAAAAACAAACAATTAAAGAAAAATAGGAGACTGGCAATTCCAGGAACAGAATAAAGGAATTAACCCAGCATAAAGAAAACCATACATGGAACGGAGAACCAGAAAAACCAAGAAAACTAAACAAGAATTGTAAAAAGAGTGCTGGATAACAGAAGCCAAGGGCAGAAATGATCCAGATACAGTAACAGGATGAGGTCCTTGGAAGATAGCACAGCTAAGCAGACAAGGGCACATGTAGGAGTGTGGGGATGGATGCTTGTGATTGGTTGTAGGTGTGTATGGGGGGGGGTGTTTTGGAATGGTGTAGGGATAATCTTACCTCGGTGCCTCTTGGGAGATGGGCCAGCAAACAACTTCCCTCCCACCCACCCTCTTTTCTGTTTGTTATTGTCTATGTCACAGCTAGTGTGTCCTTGCCAATAGGTTGGGGGGCTATCACATTGAGTGGCAGGTCGGGTCTCAACCTCCTCTGCTCTGTACGGTAAACTTTTCAGTTACTGACTTGGACGTGCCCACTGAGCTAAAAGCCGGCTGGTAGTAAGCAATAAAAGAAAAAGGGAATTTGGTTTGGACGAGGGGGGAGGCGAGAACCAAGTGGGCAAGTTGGTGCATAGGCATGTGGTCTCGTTCATTGGCAAGGACGTTTATGTAAAGTCTGTAGGGCCTAGGTGTTAATTTATACATTAAGTTATGGATTATTTATGTACTTATCTCTGGTTATGATTAAATGATAAAGTTAATTACTGTTGGATGAGTCCTACAGTCTTATGTTTAATAAATGCTGTGGCCTGTTTCATCCAAATTCGGTGTCTGTTGTTATTGGGGGATATTTGGGGTAGGCTCTGTTATTCTTATTTGCATCACATTTTCCGATACGTCCATTCATGACATAGCTACCCTCCTAAGGAGCGACCTCCGGGCGCAACCAGTCCTTTTGACTTACTGGAGGCAAGGATTCCCAGTCGTTAGCCTTTGATAAATTAGGAGGAGAGCGTTCACGACTAGCAATGCCTTCCTGAACATCTCCAAATACTTTGGAGATGTCTCCTGCTGTCAGGATTAAAGTTGATACAGCACGCAAAAAACTAAACAAGAATTGTAAAAAGAGTACTGGATAACAGAAGCCAAGGCCAGAAATGATTTGCATACAGAATTTGACACCTTATGAGTTGTATATCCTGTATCATGGAGCAGGGCCATCACATCTTCCAGTGTTTTCTCCTGAAGTCCTTTTACTATTTATGTTATCCAGGTCATCAAACCATAATGGGTTGGTAGTGTTTGCATTATCATTTGAGCAGCCGTGTTCACCACCCAGGCCTCAGATTTTGCCTCTGTGACCCTCCATTCCAAGGCTGCTAAGTGTGCTCTAAATTCTGATTTGGTTCGGAGTAAACCTAATAGCACATGTATTTCTTCCTGTATGTGAGCAGGGTCGGACTGGGAAAAAATCTGGGCATTTTTCTGAGAAGGGAGTGGGGCCATAGAGGGTGTGTTTTGTCATCACTAATGACAAGCACACCCCTTCTCAAAGTGAGCATGTTGGTTCAATGCGCAGAGCCCTGCTGAAGAGCTCTAACATGAAAAAAAAGCCTTGTATTTGTTCTGCGCAGCGCAAGCAAATTTAATAACATGCTTGCGTTGTGTTTGCTTTTAACTTGTCTCTGGTGTCTCCATAAGTGGGATACCAGAGGACAAAAGGGCCAGGAAAGTGAATGGTGCATGTGTTTGAAGCCTGCTTGTGGGATTGCATGTGTGTAGAGTGAGCTGATTGTGGTGTTGTATTGTGTAAATAGGTCGATTTAATTGTGTTTGTGGTGCAATATTTGTGGCTAGGGGCTGTAGAGAGTATGTGTATAGGCACTGGCGTACATACCCCGGTCACAGGGGTCACAGCTGTGACCGGGCTTGTCCCACCAGGGGGCCCGACCACCCTGCGACCCGGTATGTACGCCAGTTAAAACCCCTTCAGCACTTACCTTTCTCCAGCGCCGGGCTCCCTTGGCGTTGGGGATCTCTCCGCCAGATCTGCCTCTCAGCTCTGAACGCGCATGCGCGGCAAGAGCCGCACGCACATTCAAACCACCCATAGGAAAGCATTACTCAACGGATCAATTTTCGCATCGGGCCCCCATGGATCGTGTTTACGCCACTATGTATAGGGGGCATAGTGTGTATAGGGGATATAGCAAGTGTGTGTGTATATAGGTGATGTAGTGTGTGTAGGGGTTGAAGAGAGTGTGTGTTTAGAGCAGGCCCAGACTGGCCATCGGGCATACCGGGCAAATGCCCAGTGGGCTGCAATGGCCATGGGTCGAGGCTGGCAGGGGAGTTCACAGGATCTCCTCAGCCAGCCCATGCAGGGCCCGCTCTATCCGAGCGCCGACCTTGCTGTTTGCCTTCGTGGGCTGGTGGGGAGATCAAAGATCTCCCTCACCCGCCCACAGGCACTGACGTGCTGCCGCTGGCTGGGGAGGGAGGGAGAGCAGGACCCGGTGGAGCTCTATCCTGCAGCTCTGCCGGGTTCCTCTCACGAGGTCAAAGCGTTGCCACGGTTACCACGGCAATGCTCAGATCTCGCAATAGTAAACTCTACCCCAGGAACTGCATGGTAGAGTTCACTCACCACTAGGACCACCAGGGACTGCAGCATGACCCTCCTCCTGGCCTGTGAGTCTGTGCATGGGGGCTGTGCAGGATATTGCTCCAAGTCGCAGTACAGGCAAGGACACACGCAGGAGAATTGTCGAGGATAAGCCAAAAGTCAGAGGGTGCTTGCAAGATTGCAACCATCAGTTGCATTGGGGGCAGTGAGCTGCAGTAGGGAAGACTGAGGAAGTTGGTAGGCTGAAAACTGAGGCTTGCTATGTCGCAATATAACAGATGACACCCATGATCCAGCGAGAGTGCGAGGTAAGGTCTCCTGTAATTTTACTGGCTGGATGTCTGTGTTCCATGGTGGCTATTGAGTCATGGTATCAGAACACCGCAAAAACATGGCTGACTCCAGCCATATCAAGCTGCATCCCTCTTGTGCATGGAATTTGGAACAAGTATTATATAGTGAGAAAGAAGAACTGTTATGGGGTACTCTGAAGTAGAATCCTGAAAAGGAACACAGCTCTAATACTGTCACATATTCATCGGCACATAAAAAAGTGGTTGATGGCATTTACTGTCATGACAGGAAAAGTTGTGCCGAGCAACCTTACTGTCCTGACACAAAAAGTTGTGCGGAGCAGCAATCAAATCCACAGGAGGGTTTGTGCTGAACAGCAATCATGCAAATGGAAACCTGGTAATTGCCTTTGGGGTCAAAGGCCGGTTACAGCCTATCAGATCCACAGGAGGGGTAGTTAGGCCCAGTACTCCTCTTTCACAGTGCCCTGTCGTGGTTTCATGCGTATGGTTATCCGAGAGTGTGTTCCTGATCTTGATTTTCTGGTATTTGACCTTGGCTTTGTTTTGACTTCCCTGATATCTGGTATCCTTGATTTTTGGCTTTCCCTCATCTTTGTGTCTGATTCTGTGTCCCTGACCTCGGCTAGTATTTTGACTATTCTTGGAGACGTTAAATCCGGCCATTCTAAGGTCCGGTTATACGTTATCCTTAGTCCTAGGTGTGACACAGTACTGCATGCTGGATCAACTTGTAATCCTGACAAATACAAGCAAAACATGGTGGAACATTATTTTATAAAAAAATTTGCCTTTATAAAAGGACAACCAGTAATGTGGTTTATTACCTATATAATATAACGATATATTATTGTCACTGGTTTGGGGGTCGGGCTTGATATGCAGAGATTTTATACGGACACAGTCACTGAATTAAAAGGTTTTATCATTGAAAACAAATAAATATAATGCAAAAGTCCCAATGCAAGTATAAATGGTCACTTCATAT